ATTATAGAGAGGCGTGAGCCACTGCACCTGGCCAAAAGTTCTTTCTTCTAAGTCCTTGTCAATGACTTTTTGAATCAATACTAGCCTCAAGAACTAAATATACTTAGAAAAATTACTTCTACATAGTATAATCAGCTTTCTGTATCCAGGGCTTCACAACCATGGATTCAACCAACCACAAATCAAAATGTTCAGAAAAAAAATTCTGCCGTAGTGAACATATACAGACTTTTCTTGTCATTATTTCCTAAACAATACAGTATAACGAGTATTTACTTAAGTATATAAATATGGTATAACAACTATTTACATTTTGTATTAGGTATTTATAAATGATCTAGAGATGCTTTAAACTATATAGAAGGATGTGCATAGGTTATAAGCAAATACTATGCCATTTTATATCAGGGACTTGAGCATCCTCTGATTTTGGTCCTGGAATCAATCCCCCCAAGATACCAAGGGACAACCGTATACTTTTCTATAAAGTAGTCAAAGCCTAATAACCAGTATTTGCTTTTCTGACTTTAATATTAAATATTTTTCTTAATTCTGCACAGCATATGTGTTCACAGTCTAGGACCAAAGAAAAGCAAATTTAGTTAACAAAATGGCCTGTAAGTATTGTATTTAGTAAAAAAAAAAAAAATATATATATATATACACACACACACACACACACAATTTTTTTTTTTTGAGATGGAGTCTTGTTCTGTCACCAGGCAAGAGTGTAGTGGCGTGATCTCAGCTCACTGCAACTTCCGCCTCCCAGGTTCAAGCAATTCTTCTGCCTCAGCCTCCCAAGTAGCTAGGACTACAGGCGCATGCCACCATGCCCACCTAATTTTTGTATTTTTAGTAGAGACGGGGTTTCACCATGTTGGCCAGGATGGTCTTGATCTCTTGACCTCGTGATCCGCCTGCCTCAGCCTCCCAAAGTGCTGGGATTACAGGCATGAGCCACTGCGCCCAGCTTAGTAAAATATATTTTAATGACTAACTTTACAATGTTAATTATGACTTTCAAATTTAGGAAGTGTTTTTCATGCTGAATCTACTTATTCCACAGGGAAATAATTCACCTTTATGTTCTGTGATTACAAAATGACATACGCTCATTGTAAAAGTTGAAACATTACAAAAATATTTAAGGTAGAAAATATAATTCCCCTAATTCTACCAGCTCCCATACCATAGTAACAACCAATAATAATTTGGTATATATTAACATGGATTGTATTTTCTAGGTATATTAATTTAAGCAAGGTTTTCCAAGAATTATGGTTTTGGGGGTAGTAAAAAGGGGAGCAAAAATTAGGAAAATTCTTTTGTAAAATATGCTTGCTAATGCTAAAAACAGGCTTAAATGCAAAAGGCAGACTACAAAACTGCATATGTAATATAATCTATATTTTGTTAAACACAGTCTAAAAACAAGTATTAAAAAATATTAGCCATCAGGGAATTGTAAATCAAAATCTTAATGAGATATCATCCAAATACTTGTACACGAATGGTCATAGCAGCATTATTCATAATAGCCAAAAAGTAGAAACAACCCAAGTATCTTTCAACTTATGAATGGATAAGTAAAACATAGAATAAAATACAATGGGATATCAGTAGGCAATAAAAAGAAATGCAGTACTGAACACATGCTACAACATGGATTAATCTTCGAAACTAAGTGAAAAAACCCAGTCACAAAAGACCACATATTATAGTTCCGTATGAATTGTTCAGAATACGTAAATCTATAGAGACAGAAAGTGGATTAATAGTTGCTTAGGGCTCAGGAGATGGAGTAAAATAGGGAATGATTGCTAATAGGTATGGGGTTTCTTCATGGGATGATAAAAATGTATGAAAATTGATTATGGTGATGGTTGCACAACTTTGTAAATACACTATAATCCTTTCAATTGTACACTTTAGGTGAACTGTGTAAGAACTATGTGTGTGTGCATATATACATATATATATATATATATATTTTTTTTTTTTTTTTTTGAGACAGAGTCTCTCTGTTGCCCAGGCTAGAGTATAGTGGCACGATCTCAGCTCACTGCAACCTCTGCCTTCCGGGTTCAAGTGATTCTCTTGCCTCAACCTCCTGTGTAGCTGCGACTACAGGTGAGTGCCACAATGCCCAGCTAATTTTTTGTATTTTTAGTAGAGATGGGGTTTCACCTTGTTAGCCAGGATGGTCTCAATCTCCTGACCTTGTGATCCGCCCGCCTCGGCCTCCCAAAGTGTTGGGACAGGTTTGAGCCATCCTGCCCAGCCAATAATTATATTTTAATAAACTGTTAAAATAACATTTGTCATATCTGGATGATGAGTAACTAGCAACTTTTTTTTTTTCTTCTTTTGAGGCGGAGTCTCACTCTGTCGCCCAGGCTGGAGTGCACAATCTCGGCTCACTGCAACCTCTGCCCTCTGAATTCAAGCGATTCTCCTGCCTTGGCCTCCCGAGTAGCTGTGATTACAGGCGCCTGCCACCGAACCCAGCTAATTTTTTGTATTTTTAGTAGAGATGTGTTTTCAACATCTTGGCCAGGCTGGTCTCGAACTCCTGACCTCGTGATCCACCTGCTTCGGCCTCCAAAAGTGCTGGGATTACAGGCGTGAACCACTGGGCCCGGCAATTTTCATTTTTCTTATACCTTTTTCTAATTTCCAATTTTTATAATGACTGAGATTATTATTAAGTCAAGGGAAAATTATTTTCCAGAGTGCTCCTTGTGAGAATTAGAGTGCAACTAATCAACAGACTAGAGGTTGGGATGGAGCTGCCACTTGTATTCATTTACTCATTCATTAAACACCTACTATGTACTCCAGAAATCGTCCCAGCATGACAGAAGTTCTAACTCCTAATCAAATATAACAGTTTAACACAAGACTTCAAAAGATAAATAATGCATCATACCACCTCTGCCTTAACTTAGCACCAAAGGTTATATTCAATTATATCAAGAAGTATCAAGCAACTTTCTCTTCATTGTTTTTCAAATTTTAAAACTCATTTTATGTAAATACCACAGCACCAATTCATAGTTTTGCAGCAAAAAAAGTATACCAAAAAAAGTCAATTAACAACAAGAGGTAATAACTCAAAACACCGGGAATCATTTCTTTATGATACTTTTTGGCTATGAGGTCAACCATAAAAGAATCTTTACACAAAATGCTACCAAGAAGAAAATTAAAACGAAAATCAAAAGAATTCCTTGGAAATGGTTGGCCTTAAAGTTGAAAAGAAAAAGGAAGAGTGAAAAATAAAAAAGGAAGAGGGATAAGAGGCATATGCTCAAGCCTTTCTCCATGGCACATAGAAGAAAATCAATTTTTAAACAGCTACATTTATGTTTATCTTACTGTAATCCTGTGGCAGGTCCAGAATTTCCAAATAGATCGGGTGAGAAGAGTAATCTGGAAGGAAGGCCTGCAGATGCTTTTTCATAATCTCTATATTAAGGTAGAAAATACCAGTTGGCCACATAAAAAAAATGAGGAAAAGGGATTTGAGGGAAATATTTCCCTCCCCTTTGGCACTACCATTGCTATGTTCTAGGCACTAAACCAAACCAAACCAAACCTCTTACCTAATCTTTCTTCCTCATGACAAGCCTATTAGGTAGATGAGGATATTGAGGCTAGATTGGAATAGAAACTGGCTGAGGGTCACAAAGCACCTAAGGAGCACTTTAGCTCTCCCACAGCTTTCCATAGCTCTTTACACGTAACTAGTGTTTCTCATTACTCATCTTGATATCATGTATATTTATGTGCGTTAGCTTCTCAATAGCAGAGTTACTGTTATTCATTTCTGTATCCTTGTAGCCAAGAACAAGTATATATTTTGTTAAATTAAGCATGTGAAACAATCAGGTGAGGATAGCATGAAGAAAGGCAGCAGGGGAAAGTTTCAAGAAATGGATGGTCGCAGCGTCAAATGGTACAGAGAGAGCTATCAATCTATCTTAAATCATTATTGGCATTCAACTGATATTCTATATTCATTTATTGAACGTCTACTACACGCAGGACATTGTGTTAAGCACTACACACACACAGGAAAAATAAAAGTCTGGTACCAGTAGAAGGATTTTTGGGGAAGTAGCCTCATCTAAATTCCTGCTCAGGAAAGCAAAACGAAGAGTCAGGCCTGCAACTGCCTACATCTTATTTGGCGCAGGTAAATCGGCAGACAACTCAAAAGGGTCACAGTGCATCTTTAATAAAACTTCTCATGGAAGACAAGAGATAAAGAAGAGCCACAGAACCTCAGTCTCGGTAACGACTGCCGGTGGCCAGGGAGGCAGACTTCCCCCAGAGTCTCTCGCCTCCTGAGCAGCGCTGGGGCTGCCCCTAGCTGCCCCTCCGTAGTGTGGGGCGGGAAAAAACAGACACTTACCGCAAAAGACACCGCTAACGCCGTGGCCCTAAGGGGCCGGGAATTCCTTAGCGAGGCCCCACGCCGTGGGAAGAAACCCAAGAAAACTGGGAGCAGACAGACAGGTATTACCCCACAACCCAACTTCCCAAACTAAAAGTAGGGTCCCAACGCCCAGCACCGCGTCGCCAACTCCCACCAGCTGGAAAACCGACGAGTGCCACCGAACCTTCCGCCCAATGAGGAAACGTCACCACTCCGCGTAGTCCAGCCTTTCTAGAGGAGGATGCGCTTCCGCTTCCGGGGCACACCGCCGCGTTCTTTCTGCGCGGCTCCTGAAATAGTTTAGATGTTTATTTGCATCGACTGGCTTTTGGTTTCAGTTTCCTACCGCTGAATAACTGCAGTAGTAAAGTTAGTGGTAAAATAGGAGGCTGTCTAGGGATATGATTTCGGGGGAGAAGTCATGCTTCGACGATCCACCTTAAGAAAAGTGATTAGGCGGAGCACTCCTAGCTAAGAGCGGAAAGATGAGAGATGGAGGTGTGACTGTTGGCAGAGATTCCCGGGCGCAAGAGAAACCTCCGTAGAGGGGTGGGACTTAGGGCTTCGCAGACTAGAGGCGGGTTCTGCGGAGGGTGGGGCGGTCTCTGCTTGCGCATGCGCAGTGCCAACCAGTGCCTGCGCGTCTTGCTCTTGCAACGTAAAATTTCCCAGCGCGAAGCAGGGAGTGAGGCTGCGGCGGCTTCGCATTGTGGTTCCTGCCGACCGCCAGGCGCTGCTACAGTGGATGCGAACTACCTGTAAGTGTAAGTGACCACAGCCAGAGGCAGGCGGTGGGGGCAAGGATATGCTTCAGGCGCTGACTTTGAGGACTTAGGCGGGGTGAAGCCAAAAGCCTTCCTTAGGGTCGCTGTGCTGGTCTCTGCTCTCCTGTGGGGTAGATTGACCAGACCTCAGAGTGCTCTAACGGAAAAGCGAGTTAGTTGCTCGCCGCACGTAGAGGCCAATTAACAAGAGCGAGCTCTGAGGGATTTTATTTCCGAAGCCAGCCTGGAGGAAGCGGCACATTTGTGCAGCTTCACCTTTGGAGCAAAAAAGCGGGCATTTTATAAGGTACGAGAGGAAATGAGCAAGAGGTTTCTGCTAGCTGGTGCCTTATCTACCGGGTAGTTGACGCCTTTCTGAGCAGAAATAAGTTGTGAAAGTGGCCAAGTGGGCATGCTTTCAAAGGCTTACCCTTCCGCGGCTACCCCCGGAGCTGGGAGTTGCATCTTGGATCTCGTAGATGAATTTGCTCTGTAGATATTGGTCTGGTGGGGGGAGTTGAGAGGTTATTTTGTATTTCAAAAAGGGCTGAGTGGGAAGTGTAGTGGAGAGGGGAAAAGAGGGAAAAAATAAACTATCTCTTGGAAAATGGGGGTAATTGGATACAGTACCACTTGGAATTAATTGGGTGTGGGAAGACCTGGTTCAGAGTGGTTTGTGACTTTGCAGCAGACTTCGGACAAGCCTTTAGAGTTCCTTGTGCCTAACCCTTTTTCTGAAAGAAAATAGAGAGTTAGTCCTCTTCCCCATTACTCCTACAAACTTGTTGGGATTGGTACGTTGCCACCTGAAAAAGCACTTTGCCGGAGAGGTTTTAGGCTGTAGCGTTAGTAGGAAGTGTTAAAAGAAAAACCTTAGCCAAGTTAAATTTAACAGTTTGAGCAAAGAACGATTCGCGAATCGGGTAGGCTCAGAGAGATTGCAGCGCAGCCAAGTGTTGAATATTTATAGACAGAAAAAGTCTGCAGTGAGCTTTTATCCCGCTGCTTCACTCCAGCCTGAGCGACACAAGACCCTGTCTCTTTAAACACACACGTTAAAAACTGAGGAAATGTGGTAGCCAGATCTAGTTATTGAAAAATGGGTTAGATGTATTCTGGCAAAGTAAAGCCTGATGAAACCTCAAGAAAATAAGATATTCTTCGTTGGGTGTGTTGGCTCACGCCTGCGATCCCAGCACTTTGGGAGGCCGAGGCGGGCGGATCATGAGGTCAGGAGATCGAGACCATCCTGACTAACACGGTAAAACCCCGCCTCTACTAAAAATACAAAAAATTAGCCGGGCGTGGTGGCATGCCCTTGTAGTCCCAGCTATTCTGGAGGCTGAAGCAGGGGAATCGCTTGAACCCGGGAGGCAAAGGTTGCAGTAAGACAAGATTGCGCCACTGCACTCCAGCCTGGGCGACAGAGCGAGACTCCATCTCAAAAAAAAAAAGGATATTGTTATGTTTAGTAACTGTAGCAAACTATCCTATGCCTGTGTGTGTGTGTGTGTGTGTGTGTGTATGTATGTTTATTTTTTGAGACAAGAGTTTCACTCTTGTCACCCAGGCGGGGGTGCAGTGGCGCCATCAGGCTCACTGCAACCTCCACCTCCCAGATTCGAGCGATTTTGAGTGGCCGGGATTACAGGTGTCCGCCACCACGCCCGGCTAATTTTTGTATTTGTAATAGAGACAGAGTTTCACCATGTTTCCCAGGCTGGTCTCAGACTCCTGACCTCAGGTGATCTTCCTGCCTCAGCCTCCCAGAGTGCTGAGATTACAGGCGCGAGCCACCACGCCTGGCCACTATGCCTGTATTTTGCTGAATGTTGATCTCCATGGTTATTTTTATCCAAACTCATGACTTGAAATGTCATTGTTAGCTGATGACTTCCAATTTTAGATTTTTAACCTTGACCTCTTAAAATCCTTTGTGATGTTAGAGTCAGTAGGTTTAGGGATTGTAATGATCATTATTACTTATTTTAGGAGTCATTTTAGATAAGATGTCAAACTGAAGTTAACAGGAACATCTGATAGTGAGATTTGACCTGGAAAGTATAGAAAACCAGAGGTACAGCCTTGTTTATTTATTTATTTATCGAGACGGATTCTCAGTCTGTCGCCACACTGGAGTGCAGTAGCACGATCTTGGCTCATTGCACCCTGCCTTCTGGGTTCAAGCAGTTCTCCTGCCTCATCCCCTGGAGTAGCTGGCACGAACCACCACATCCAGCTAATTTTGGTATTTTTAGTAGAGACAGGATTTTACCATGTTCGCCAGGCTGATCTTGAACTCGTGACCTTGTGATCCGCCCGCCTCAGCCTCCCAAAGTGCTGAATTACCGGCGTGAGCCACTGCGCCCAGCCCAATACATCTTTATTTCTATATACACAAAATCAAGATAAGAATTTCCATAATGTGCTGAGTCTCCTGTCACTTCATCTAAACCCTGTGTTGCACATTTCATTCTTCATATCCCATTTGTCAATAAAACAGCACCGATTTACATCTTTTTTCACATTCCTCAGCATAAGGTCATTTATTCTAAAAGCACTGAGTGCCTACAAAAATGTCGCATACTGCCTAGAGCTGGCAATTACTAAAACATCCTTGCCCTCAAGATTTGTTTTGTGGAGCCATCTGTAATCTAAATCTTGAATTTTTTTTTTTTTTTCCTGTGTTTTGTTTGTTTTTGAGATGGGGTCTTTGTTACCCAGGCTGGAGTGCAGTGACACCATGATAGCTCACTACAGCCTCACACTCCTGGCCTCAAGGGATCCTGCCACCTCAGCCTCCTAAAGTGTTCAAATTACAAGCATGAGCCACTGTACTCAGCCTCAAATTTTAGAGATATCCGTTGAGACTCTATTTTTCAAAATCAGGAAGACTTGAAAGAATGTTTGGATAATTTTGTAAACAAGAGCCAATGTCACTAGCTAAAGAATATATTTTTCCTTTTTTTTTTTTTTTTTGAGATGGTGTCTTGCTGCCACCCAGGCTGGAGTGCAATGGCACGATCTTGGCTCGCTGCAACCTCTGCTTCCTGGGTTCAAGCGATTCTGCTGCCTCAGCCTTCCAGAGTAGCTGGAACTACAGGTGCATGCTACCACGCCTGGCTAATTTTTTTGTATTTTTAGTAGAGACGGGGTTTCACCATGTTAGCCAGGATGTTCTCAAATCTCCTGATCTCGTGATCTGTCAGCCTCTGCCTCCCAAAGTGCTGGGATTACAGGCATGAGCCACCGCGCTCGGCCCTATTTTTACTTCTTTTAAGGGTACTTTTTGTTGTTATTTTTAGAGACAGGGTCTCATTCTGTCACCCAGACTGGAGGCTGGTGTGCTGTGACACCATTATAAGCCCACTGCAGCTTTGACCTCCTGGGCTGAAGCAGTCCTCCCATCTCAGCCTCCTGAGTAGCTGGACTATGGTGCAAACCACCACACCCAGCTTTTTAAAATTTCCTGTAGAGATAGGATGTCACTGTGTTGCCCAGGCTGGTCTCAAACTCCTGGCCTCAAGAGATCCTCCTACCTTGGCTTCCCAAAGTGCTGGGATTACAGGCGTGAGCCATCGTACCTGATCTAAAGGTACTTCCTGTGCCTCTCTTCAGCAGACCCTGTAGTGAGGAAGCTCAAGCAATTTGTTAAACAATTTAAAAAATAACTTGAGTTTCTGAAGAATGTTTATTAACACGAATATTTTAAGAAGCGAGGCCAGGCATATGGCCCACGCCTGTAATCTTAGCACTTTGGGAGGCCGAGGTAGGAGAATTGCCTGAGCCCAGGAATACGAGACTAGCCTGGGCAACATAGCGAGAACCTGTCTCAAAAAAAAAGAAAAAATTAATATTAAAAAAAATTTTAAGACAGAAGTGAGAGTATCACTGAGCTTAAAATAAAGGAGTATGGTTATTTATAATTCTTTTTAAAAAGTAGTGTATTAGTATACCTTCTTTATTGTGGTAAAATATATACAAAATAAAATTTACCGTTTTGACCTTTTTTTTTTTTCTTCAGACAGAATCTTGCTCTTCGCCCAGGCTAGAGTGCAGTGGCACAATCTCGGCTCACTGCAGCCTCCGCCTCCCAGGTTTAAGTGATTCTCCTGCCTCAGCCTCCTGAGTAGCTGGGATTACAGGCATGCACCACACCTGACTTATTTTTGTATTTTTAATAGAGATGGGGTTTCACCATGTTGGCCAAACTGGTATCGAGCACCTGACCTCGTGATCTGCCGACCTCAGCCTCCCAAAGTGTTGGGATTACAGGCATGAGCCACTGTGCCTGGCCCGTTTTGACCATTTTTTACTGTATAGTTAAGTGGCATTAAATGTGTTCACATTGTTTTGTAAACATCATCACTATTAATTGCCAGAACTTTTTTGTCTTCCCACACTGAATCTCTCAGTATACCTTTTTATGAAGTGGTCTAAGTACAGCACAAATGATTCTTCCAAACAACTATTTTTCATTTTCCTGGTTAGATTTCCTTTTTCCTGGGGAAGTTTTTTTTTTTTTTTTTTTTTTTCTTTTGAGATGGAGTCTCGCTGTGTCGCCCAGGCTGGAGTGCAGCCTCCTGAGTAGCTGGGATTACAGGCACATGCCACCGAGTCCGGGCGATTTTTGTATTTTTAGTAGAGGTGGGGTTTCACCATGTTGGCCAGGCTGCTCTTGAATTCCTGACCTCAGGTGATCCGCCTGCCTCAGCCTCCGAAAGTGCTGGGATTACAGGTGTGAGCCAGTGCGCCTGTCCTCTCCTATAGTTTTTAAATAAATTTTTAAATCTCTGGCGTTAAGTCATTTAAATAATGTCTTGCATGACATTTGTCTTGACCTTAAATTAAAATTGTAACTCTTCTTTAATTTTATACCATTTGATGGAATAGCAAGAGACAACGCTAGATGTTGAGTGTGGCTTTGGTTTTGAGTTTCATAGAGTTTATTAAAACTAGACAACATAGCTGTGTGCCATGGCTCACACCTGTAATCCTGG